GTCCTAACTGGAAGTGCAGTGTGGAGTGCAAGACACATACAGTCGTAGCAGCCACGGCTCTTGAGACCGATGAAACGGTTCTCGACAATGTCAATACGGCCAACACCGTGGGTGAAACCGATCTTGTTGAGGGTGTAGAAAAGCTCAACGGGGTCAGTGTACTCCTTCTCGGGAGTGACAAGCTTGGTGGGAACACCCTGCTCGAAGTGGATGGTGAGGTCGGTGGGCTCGTTGGGAGCGGTCATAGGGTCGGCGGTCATGGTCCACATGTCAGCGGGGGGAGTGTGGTTGGGGTCCTCCAGGACACCTATCGACTGGTCAGTAAAATGACAAGTAAACTAATGCCAATGGTTCACTTACCAGCCTCGTAACTGCAGTGGGCGGAGTTGGCGTCTATACCAATAATTAGTACACTTGAGAGCATTAACGCGCGGAAAAGCAGTTTGACGAACCCATGGACCAGGGCTTAGCCTATATCGTACTATATTAGCCTGTATTCAACCAAAATCGTATAGAAGCCACTCACCTTAGTGGAGGTAACGGGGATGCCGGTCTGGGCGGCGTAGTCAAGCAGATCGTTGCGACCAGCGAAGCGCTTGAAGAACTTAGGGTCACGCCAGGGGGCAATGACCTTGATGGAGGGCTGGATGGCGTAGAAAGCGAGTTCGAAACGGACCTGGTCGTTACCCTTGCCGGTGGCACCGTGGGAGACGAACTGGCAGCCTTCGCGCTGAGCAGCACGCATCTGAGCGCGGGCAATCACAGGGCGAGCCAAGCTGGTACCGAGAAGGTAGCGACCCTCGTAGATGGCATTGCACTCTGCGATGTGAGATTAGCGGACTGATCGGGGCATGTAGCCGGACTAGCAGTCTTACGGATGGCGGGGAAGCAAAGCTCGGTGATGAATTCACGGCGCAAGTCCTCGATGATCATCTTCTTCGCACCGATCTTGAGAGCCTTGGCCTCGACAGCGGCCCAGTCCTCCTCCTGGCCGACATTGCCGAGGAAGCAGACGACATCGTAGCCCTCCTCTGCGAGCGATTGTTAGTCGAGTCGATTGAATTTCGACCGGAAAAAGGGAGAGAAATGTACCGATGAGCCAGCGCAGAATGCAGCTGGTGTCAAGACCGCCTGCAATGGAAATTGTCGAGTTAGTGCACCGAGCCTTATCAAGACCGCAATATTGCGGGGTCGGGCGGGCGAGAACATACCGGAGTAGGCCAGACAGACACGGGGCTTTTCAGAGGCCATTGTGATTGTGTGAAGGGGATTGGTAGGGGAAATCGGATAGACCGGCGGGAGAAGTAGTTGTTGGGCAGCAAAGAAGGATGAAAGAAGAGACTTGAGAAAGAAAAAAGATCGCTGGGGAAGATCAGTTTTCGCGATGGCTCATTCAGGCGGTCGATGCAGGTCGTTGACTCATCCGGAGTCGGAGCTAGTGCCTTACGTAACGATTTTGTCGACGAGCCAATCAGCGACTGTGGATCGCCCTGCATCGATAGGGAAGTCATTATCGCTTCGTCCGATAAGTAATCTCCGTGAATAATGACTCACTACAATACTGGGGGTAACTATGCTTGCTGTGAGTCCTGGATAGCATTGGAGGGGACAATTCCAATAGCTAGATCATACCTTCCTCCAATTCCATACATTGACCAGAATCAGTACCTTTTGACTTGCAAAGAACAGGACAGTAGAGGGGATATCTCTGTAGTCACGTGCGTCATTTCCCCGACGGCTAATACAAGCCCTCCGATATGGATCCGGGGAAGGGCACTGGTTCCTGATTTTGTCTGAACTCCCACAAAGTCAGTTCTTGTGTATTGTTGAGCGCATATGAATATATGCGAGCTAAGCAGAACAGTACAGTTAATTTTGGAATATCCTATCAGCTTATTTTGCTGCTCAACTAATTCAATTCTGTAAAATAGAGAAAGGATCGCACCCCCTGAAGTAGTAATTATATGTTTCTGCACTTGAAGCCAAATGATTCTTCATCATAATTGACCACCATCACTTTCCTGTCCTAAATTACCTACTGAGTAATAAGGCTGTCATCGGCCAGTGGAGCATCATATGAACTCAGTTAGCACTTTTATGAATTAACTATCGCCTGTCTCTAGAGTAGACCTAGTAGCTACTACTTCTCTGTCAAGATGCTCCAATTGCTCCAATTGCTCCAATTGCTTCAAACACCGCTTCTCAGTTCTGCATATTTCCAGCTGAGATTACAATCAGATAAAGTATCATTATACATTCTGTTAGCTGTTGACGATTATACCAGTTCGGTCTCACTACTAGTTCGGTTTTGTCTCTAAACCCTAATGTTCAAGCATCGATTGGGCGCAATACTAAAAGCGCTGAGAGTAGCCAAGGTTGTCTAGAGCTTCTTTAATACCCCACTACTGCAGCTAAGAATAGATAGTAGTACGAATAGCTTTCCCCAGGAAATTGGAGTGGCGCTAGAGAAACTTCGCAGAACGAACATCAATGGCCAGGTCATCTATCGATCGTTTTAGACGAGTGACGCCCTGCTTTCGTTGTAGTGTAGATGTTACGGATTGCTATCGAGAGGAGAAGAACAAGTTTAAATGTATAATTACTACCTGTTAGATAGCCGTAGGTGGTAAAATCAATCTCTGGACCAGGGCAATGAGTCACACTTGGCCGTAGAGACACTGCGGGCCCATATATCCCGTCACGAATGGTTACCGGACGATCGTTATAGCCTAGTTCGTCTAGAGTAACACCACCCAGATGAAACAGTCTATCTTTTCTCTTGTGGACTAGAGAACATCTTAGTCTGTCATTTACACATAAATCACTTCAAATTTCCCAGATAGGGCAGAGACTCTTGTGTAATGAGGCTATAGACACCTTCATGTCTAGAGACTTGCTCAAATGATATGTACATAGCTTAGGCTTTGATCAGAAACAATAGGTCTGCTATATACATTAGTACCATATAGTATAAGCTGTTGCAATGCACACTTCCATCTTTCTTTGGTTCTACAGCTCAGGACTCTTGAAAGTTCTGGATAGGAGACTAACAGGAAGCATGGTCAAGATATGCGGATGGCTGCTTTGCTGTTCCCATTTTCCTGACCAACATATTTTCAACGTCTTAAGATAATAAGGTTATTATAATCTTCTTTCTACTTTCGCTGGTACTGTGCAATTCCTTGCTATGGTGTGAAGCGTCTTCTGCTTATGCCACGAGATGGCAGTATTTATGCACATATTATGTAATCAACACTAGTCCAGATTAGCTGAACCGCGGACTTCTTCCCAAGTATTGACCTTCTTTCTTTGCTCCTCAAGCAGCATTCTTAAGATGGCGTATCTCAGATCTTCTGCGTTCAAGTCCCTGCTGAGGACTCGGGCATCCTCCCTATGCCCCCAGCAAAGGCGCTGGGCCCAAGTGCACGATGTCCGTTTCCTCGCCACACACCACGATCCCAACCAAGTGCTGGACAGGTACCGCTCGAAACTCAAGCAGAAAGCCCAAGCGTAAGTCGACCGCGACAACAGTCATGACCGGCTCACTCACTCCTCTCACCATAGAGAGGGACACCAAGACATCGATTCTCTGAAGGAGGCCTACAAGGAGAAGATTGAAGAGTTCCGTCACAAAGCAACAACTCCTCTCACTCCGGAGCCACCCAAGTCCTCGCCCTCCCCGTCCACGACCGGTCCTTCACCCCCTCCTCCTCCACCTACTCCCCAGGCTCGCGCCGCCTCCTCCGCCACATCGACTGGGATCAGACCTCTTGACTCGTTCATCGACGTCGAGAAAGTGCGCAGTCTCCCGCCCAAGGAAATCGAGGCCATCTGGCGTCTTCGTTTTGCCAACAACTCTCATTCGGTCTGCGCCGTAATCCCGGTAGAAACATACCAGCGCATCGTCTCCGCCGCACGCCAGAACCCCCAATTCGTTCTTCCCCTACCCCGTACGCAGAGTGAGGCGCAGACCGCGGAGGAGAACGCAGAAGCCGCCAAGGGCGGTGCGGACATTCATTTCCTCCAATGGGGTTTCCACCCCCCAGCGTCCCCGACCGCTTCTTCCGCTGCTTCAGCCAACGACCACACTTCCACGATCATCTTCACAGCGTTGGCTTCGTATCAGCTGCATGGCTCGTATGCGCAGCCGCATACGACGGTCACACATTATCTGGATCTGGCGGATGAGAAGGGTCTGGTTCTGATGAATGGTCAGGTGATGCCTGATTCCGGAGTATCTGCGACAGATGCCACCTGGCTGGTTAGCTGTGTTCAGCGTTTCTATGACTTTGGGGGTCAGGCGAATGGACGGAAAGGCGAGCTTCTGCAGGCGTTCACTCGCGGTGACGTGCAGAACTTCAAGGTTGAGGACTTGATGGCAGAGGCCGAGAAGTTGTAAGGGTCCCACTAGTATTGTAGATAGATAGATTGTACGATATACGTTTTACCAATACGCAGCCTTTCCCGCGCGGGTATTTAGCTTGTAATCAGCCTCGAGGTTGATGAGTGTTGGGGGTCAAGCTATCCATACCCCACAGCATTCCCGGGGAGATAGTGAGGAAGATGCAGCAGCAGCTGATGTGAGAGTGACTGGCTGTCGCCGGTCCGCCAACCAATCGGGCTTACAGTGGCTAGTAGGACTACTATTACTACTACCTTACTAGTGCTTAGTTCCTTCCCTCTTTAAAGCCCCCCTGTCTTTCACAGCCTTGTCCTCCCTAGTGTCCAATTAAATGCATGGTGTCATTCCACTTGCACTCCGCACTGAGTCAGTGAAATGCTTCGTCGCAGAGCCTTGTCTCTTAGACTGAGGCACTATAATAGTACTTCACATCTGCCCTGACTTCCCCAGGATTTTGATTTCAGTTTCGAGCGATAACTCTATAGAGCCCCAAATCTTACGAAAATATCCACTCATTTTTCTTCACAGCTTCCACATAACTTTCACTGGACTTATCTTTATAGCCTCAACTGCTTGCTCGGTTTCTCGACCATTCACTATGATGAGAGATGCAGTAAGCTTGGATGTATGGCGTCTTATCTTTGAGCAGTGCACCACTCAGGATCTGTTCCACCTCTGCTTGGTCGACAAGATCTTTAACTCGATCGCGACACCGGTTTTGTACCGATCTATCTCCCTGGTGGCTTATGAGAATCTCTCTGGCTCCCGTAGGTTGTCCAAGTCCACAGAAACGAAAACGGAACCAGAGTTGCCTACAGGCCCATGGCTTCTATTATCTCGACTGGAAGCCGACGAAAATGACACCTTACGAGCTTGGGTACAGGAAATCAATATTTCGAGTCCTTCTGCCTGGGCAGACGAGGACTTCCTAGAACGACTCCAGAGCAATGATTGCTTGGCCACACTGATTGCCCGTCTGCCAAACCTTCGACGGATCACCATCGGCTTTCCCAGTATTCAATCGACAACATTGATTCGCACCATTTATGAGCATAACCGGAAGCCAGAACTCCTCCTACTCAACCAGTATAACGAGGAGATTAACTCTAGCTTAGCGGAGCAGACTCTACCCCGTGTCACGACTCTCTCTGCATCAGTGAGCCCGGCAAATGACCGAAACAGGCCAAATAGGCAGATACCCACGTTACAAAGATTGTTTTTCAAATGCCCACATCTCCGGTCGTTCTCGCTTACTGTCATGAGACAATATGGTGGTTGTGTTATAAGGATGCCAAGGCATCCTGTTATATGGAGCTTTCAGCTTACAGGCGAAGAGACATTCCCTCCACTCGAGCATCTTTCCCTCGACGGATACCCGATGGACGATCAGCAATGGAGGTTTTGGCGTGATGGGCTTCAGTGGGACAAGCTGGTGTCACTAGCCGTAGGACCGCAGAGGTGCGCTGGCTTGTTTCGATGTCTAGTTGGCTTTACCAGATCACTAAAGATTCTTGAAGTGTCTGTCTGGGAAGGGGAAGGCGATCGTGAGCGAGAGGAACTCATCGAACTCCTCTCATCATTTGATTCTCTGGAAGCCCTAGTTTTAAAAGGGTACAAGTGTCCGATTGAGGCGATTTTTCATCACAGTAACCTATCTACTCTTTGTCTGCATGAAGAAGAATCTTCCTCCAAGGCGCGTCCGCGACAAGTCCTAACAGCGGAGGAGCTCAGTCAGCTCGATGCTAACTGTCCCAAACTGAAGTCACTTCAAGTCGGAGTCAAGAGAGAGAACGATCAATGGGTAAGCCAATGTATCCTCTGTCTTATACTATCACATGAACCGAGATCTAACCACATCATAGCCCGATGACGTCTTCGACAAACTAGCAACCGGTTTCCACAACCTCAGGAGCCTATCTGTGCACTTTGAACTGGGCCTCCCCGACATACATAACCCCATCAAGCCTTTTATAAATTATGTCTCTGTGAGGAGCATCGGCCAGAATTACTTTGACCGTAGAAAGCAGGCGGGCATTGAAGTATTCGAATCGTTCACCTTGACCGTCTGGACAGGTAAATACTTCCGTCGTTTCCCACAATGGCCACCAATGTACGCCGGTTTTGAGAAGAAATTCTCAGCGACTTACCAGATATCCTTACCGAGTGATTCTTTCGGTGAGGTCCAAGTCCGTCATTTGGAGAAAGAGCGATTGGACCTGATTCAGTCCAAGAAGATCAAAGTCCATTCCTATGAGAGGTTGCAACTTGCTAACCAGGTTGCTGCAGCCGTGGAAGGCCCAAAGGTCGAGGATTGCTCGGAGTGAGGAAGCCTTATTCTTTCTTTTCATGCTTGTACTAGGGCTGGGTATTGCCTAGCATATGTTGGTGATGATGTATATGTATTTATGCTGGTATGGAATGTCGCAGTGCATTTGTCATTATGGTACATCAGATATCTTTTTTACTTGATGTTTCTTTGTTCATGCTAATAACCTACCTTGAAATACGATATCCACATGTGTTATGTGAATAAAATATAACTACGCTTGGAAATACCCCCTAACCACAGTGACTAGCACCATCTCGCAGCCAATTAGTCCGTAAAGGCCCTCCGGATACGATGTTGTGATAGTGTGTTGCATGTGGACAAGGGCTCTGACGCTTCTGTAGATTACATAGACACAGTCCACGTTAATGTATACCATCGTATAGTATTCATATGCTATATAGCAAACATAACCTATTTACAAACCACGCTCCCCCCCACACCCACCCCACCAACCAACCCCCTGATAACCCCTCATGAAGAAAACGCCGTCTCAATCTCAAAGCTAACATCATTATTGAACGACGTCTTCGAATCAAATGTCTGCACACCACCATTGCTAGCAGCATACAAAACATTCTCATAATGCCTGAAGTACCTCGTCGGGTAACTCCACGAGCGCAACGAAGTGCCCTCACCATTCAACGCCGCCTGAGGACAGAAAGTAGCATCCTCATGGAACTGCTTCGTGCCATCATTGGCATTAAGCAACAACTCAAAGTTATAATGACGGATATAGCTACCAGGAGTATCAACCGACTCGAACGAGAAGCACTGGCTGTTAGCCAAACCAGTGACAACAGTCCAGCTAGCCTCCTCCTTCAACGTCGTGGAACTATCATCATCCACAACCTGAGTGTTCACAGTGGTATCAGTATGCGCGATATACCTCGTCGTGTACCCCGGGGTCGTGACACGCAGCGAGACCACCTCTCCAGAGGTAAACGACGGACCGCTGACCAGCGAGCCGACGACGTATTTAGCAGCGACGATGTTCTCCTGGACGGAGTTCTCGGTATCATCCGACGGATATCCGGAGGTCATGACACCCTCGTAGAAGGTACCCTGGGCGCCGTTGCTGTTATCACCACCAATACCCAGGATAATAGCACCCTCCTTGCTCATGGGATTATAGCCGGAGTAATCCGGACGGACTCCGCTATAGTACGTGGACAGGGAGCCAGAGGCAGCATTAGCGCCGCGAATAGCCCACTTATCAGCGCCGCCCTTGACCGCAGCAGTAACGAAGCGGTAAGAGATAGACGGATCACCGGAGTTATATCCCTCGTCGGCACCAGAGAAGAGGTTGTTCTCCATGTCAACCATGATCCAGGGGCCATCGCCGGCACCGTAGCCCCAGGCGGTGCTGTTACCGAGGTAGATGGCCTCCATGTGGCCGGCGCCGGTGTCGGTGCTGCTGGTCTCGGCATTGCCGTAGTCGAAGCAGCAGGCGTCGTTGTAGTGCGTGCCGTCTAGGACGGCGTACATGCCTTCGGCCTCGTCGCCGGTGGCGGTGCCTGTGGCTTCGTTGTTGCGGTAACCCGTGCCGGGGGACATGAAGACTCCGTAGGCCTTTTGGCCGTTCAGGGTGACGGGGGCGCCGATGGCGCTGGCCAGGTTGTCGTAGCCGTCGGTGTCTGGGCCGTCGAAGCCACCTGGAGGTGCTTGGGTCAGGTGGTTGCCGTTGCCGGATTGGTCGTAGATGATGGTGATCAGGCAGGTGGTGTTGGCGCAGAAGGTGTCTTGCGCGGAGGCGTCGGCGACGCCGCCGGCTGTGAGCGGGGAGATGGTGGTGGTGGTGTCATCGGAGCCACGCTGGAGTTGGTAGAGGGCGCCGCTGAAGGAGCTGTATAGAGCGCGGGTGGTGCTGTGTGCGGCTACACAGGGAGTGTCGCCGGCTTCGTAGATGTCACAGGGACCGGCGCTGACGGTGGCGGCTAGCCCTAGGGCGAGGAGGTTTCGGCGGGAGAACATGGTGGTGGATGGAGTACTGCCTGCTCAGGAAGGTCTGGGCTAGGAGAGGACTCAGACAGTAGGATAGGCCGCTTGGGGAAAGAAGTCATGCTACTATGGCGAGAAGGGGGGCTTATTTATATTCTTCACTGCAGTGCAGTGTGCATGCATGGAGTGCATGATATGGGAAGTCTAATTACATGTGTGGCTTCAGGGGTCAGGGATTTTCCTCCAATATTGGGACATCCTGTATACATTGTCAAGTAACCGGTCGGTTAAAAGGCTCACTTTGGAAGAAGCAGGAATGCGTTGTTCCACCTGATGTCAAGCGACGACGGCATTCCGGCGGGCGTGCAGGGCGTCGTGGAGTATGTACCCCGCAGGATGGGAGGGATTTAGTTGGTTTAGTTCCTGAAGTCTTGACAATGGCATTGTCCGTGCCTAGGGCTAATGCTAGTGCCGCCGGGGTTTTGCCCGGAGGGGATGCGGGGGAGGAGACTAAATTGTGTTGCCCGCTCATCACGGTTCGTCACGTTTCTTCAGGGATCTGTTCCTCCTGGATCAAGCCTCGGTAGTTATAGAGGGGATGGGGGTGCCGCATTCCTGTGGAAGTTTGTTTTGTAGAGGGTTGCTGAATGCTTATCCGGAGGCAGTGTGTTTTCGAGTAATGGGCCAATTTTGGAAGCTACAATTTGGATGCCATTACCCCGGATTGTGAGAAATGATTACCCCTGAAAAGATGTATGATGATCGGAACGAATTCCGCTTTGCAATAAGTATAGTCGAAATAACATGAAGTAGACAAAACAACCGACCCGTGTCCGTCGTACGATCTTTACTTTTGGGAAAGTGGATGGCTTTAACCGGTGCAGTGAGGGGAACCCATGTTCTTCACACCATGTGGTCATGCTACTTGAACTCTATCAGGATACTATCCAGTCTTGTCCCTGAATTAAAGCAGTGAATGGCTGCGTTTGAATGTCTAGCTTACCGGACCCACTAAGCACAGCCCAAAGGAGATGCCGTCGGTTATATCATGATGCATGAACAGCCCTGCCGTCTATTGACTTCCGGAGCGTCTGTGAGAAACGCGGACGATTACCGGACACTTTCCGAGACAATCATGACATGGCTCTCTGGATCAGCTTACATGGCCAGAATAGACATGCCCTGAACATCCAAAATGGTGAGATTGGATGCCAAGCGGCCCTCCGCATCATTGTGACCCTCGGCAGGCTCGGGCCGCCCGGGTTCCTGGGCATGTTGAACCCAAATCAAGCAGCTGACCTGGTTTGCTTGGCGAGGAGGCATTGCGTGAATCTTATTCTCTGCGTTACTTCTAAGAAGCTTATGGTATAATAATCTGCCCCCTAGCACTAATGTTGACTGTCTGCTCGCCTCAAGCCTTCCACAAGGGCATTCATATTTGGAGGACGACCCAAGAACCTCTCCAGCATCTGAAACAAATCTTGCTGGCCGCCACCGTTTTGCAGAATCTCGCGACGGTACTTCTCCCACTTGTCCTTTTGGAATGGGCCTTCAGCAAAGACAGAAAGAAAGACGTCCTGGGCCATTGCCGTGCAGCTTCAAGAGGGTTAGTCTTCACGAATGGTACAATAGAGCAAGTAGTCTGGATGGGAGAGGAACATACATGAGATAAGCATAGTAGCAGACATCATAGCCCGCTGTCAGATGACTGAACGTTCCAAATGCATAGCCGTCTCGGCAATCGGAGAAGTCCATACTTTCAATCTCCTCACGGAGGTCATACCAGAGCTTCTGAACATCCAGATCAGAAATATCTGCATCTTTCTTGAGACTATGGATTTGCAAGTCGAAGATGGAGATTGACCTGCTCAAGTTAGATTAGTTGAAGTCAAAGACATAAAGCAAAAACATACAACTGATACAAATGATAAAGCCCTCGATTCAGGTAACGATGCTTAATAAGGCGTTCGACTACATCTTCCGGAATTTTCTTTGGCGGATCGGGTGAGCTGGGATGTTGCTTGCGCCACTCCATGAGGTAATTATTCTCTAGCGTAGTATAGTGGCAGCTGAGACCCTGCAGAACCTTTTTCATCTAGCACCAGTTCTCGAGCATCATACTGGGCATCTCTCCGAAGTCAGGGGGAAGCCGGTAGCCGTGAAATCGGACGTACTTTGTTCGTGCAAGGAGATCGTGGATTCCATGACCCATTTCTGTGTCTTATGTTTAGGATAAATTCAAGCTTGTCTAATTCAGACTTACCGTGGAAAAGGGTTACCACTTGATGGTGCTTGAGCAAGGCACAACCGGTGGGGGTGGGAGTAGGGAAGGAACACATGAGGATTGTGGCAGGGTATTGCCGACTGCCATCTGGGCGGAGATAGCCCTGATGCTCTCTGTTAGTCTGGATCAAGCACGATGACACTAATTTAAGGGAGGCGCATACACATTGGAGATTCACGCTTTGGTTACCGCGATATTTGTTTTCTCTCCATAGCAAATCGAAGTAGAGATAGCCAATAAACGGCTTATCGGGCGTACTCTCCCAGACAGAGAATACCCGGACGGACTCATGCCAGAGAGACTCCTTCTCGGCTTCGACAGGTTCGAACTGGAGACCCAGAACAGAGGCAAAAATACCCAGCATTCCCATGGCTGTTTGTTCGAGGGGATAGAACTCGGATAGCTGCAGCTGGTCAACCGCAACTTCCTCTTCTACTAACCGCATGTAATAGGGTTTATCCCACGGCGGAAAACCCACACCATTTGTGTCACACTTGTCTTTTGTATCCTTCATCCTCCTCTGCTGTAACACCGCAATTTCATCTTTGCCGCGGGCGCAGAGTGTGTTCTTGAGGTTGTTGAGAAACCCACCTAGCCATTCCGGATCCTTTACCATACGTTGCTGTAGTCGATACTCGGCGTGGGTGGAATGATGCAATTGATGGGCCCGCCGAGCCCGTCGACGAATGATCTCCTCGAATAATGGCTGATTGCTCTGGAGCTTCTGATTGTCGGCCAAGAACATCTTCTTTCGCGTTTCGGGGCGACGAGCATAGGTCAACACTGCCAGTGTACCTCCATTCGCAAAGGGCACAAATAGCTTTTCATTTCCTTGCTCACCATCCGACTTCCACTTCCCCAAGTCACTCGCTGGTACTCCCTCCAACTCGTCCGGTGTAAACCATACGCCCCCATCTTCCCTTGATAGGTTCTCCTGAAACTTCCTCTCTATTTGTCCAATGTTTGCCCCTTCCTGCAAGAAGCCTTCCACCTCTTCCGCATCCAGCTCCCCGTGCCCTGCCATTCGGTATACAGTCAACTCACGTTCGAGCAAATGTTGCGATTCCGCATCCAATGACTCAAAGTCCTCTCGATTGTCGCGGACAGCCTGCAGTAGACGGAAGTAATCGCCGTTGGCGATCCATGCCGCCTGTGCTTCGGCATAGACGCTTAAGGCGGAGTGGACGACATCCTGAGTCTCCCGTAATGGAGCACCGTACTGTAGCATGTCGATCATGGCTAGCTGGCCTTGAATTGCATTTTCGGTTTGCGCCAAGGGAAGAAGAGTGTTGGCGAAGGTGGCTGTTTCTGGAGTCGTTGCTTTGAGTATTGAAGTGCGCGTCTGAGTGAGTTCATCAATGATTTGATGCATGAGGGGAAGGATTTTGTCAGTGGTTGGGACATGGGGAAGCTAAAACATGATGTATGAGACAGTTTGCAGCCAGGCCGCGAGTGTTAGGGTAGAAGATGTTTGGCCTTTTGGGAGTCCAATCTGAATCAGTCCAGGGTATTGCAATGGGGAGCAGGAAGGAATAAGGAATCGTTAATATATTGTCACTCTAATGAGACCAAAAGAGGGGAAGGGGGGTGGTTGAGGCTAGGGCCTATTTGGAGCTTCCTTATAGGGAAGAGTAACTTTTGTAGTACCTCGGGTGACTACCACTAGTGGCTTGAGATTAAATTGCTTGGATTTTCTCCCCTGTTCCTGCATGGTTAGCGCTCCGTCTAAGGCATTAGTAGATCACGCAATAGCCACGTTTCATTCGTTCATATTCGGTAGTATGGCTATCAGCTGAGGTTGTTTAATCAGACAAAGACATTGACTAGCTATGGCTTATGATTTCCGTCCAGCTTATAATTGTTACTGTTAATGCTGGTTATGATAGACAGCAGCCTCACACTTAGAAGTAATAGTGCTGCTCCAACTCTTCCCTTATTCATGACGAAGTCTTGCAGTTGAGACAGAAACTCCAGAATACCAGAGGTGCCTACGAAAATAGACACCCTGAGAGTAAGATGTCTTATATCTTCAGAGTCCATTTAGAATATTTAGAATCACGAACGGGAGAACCTTCTCCGCGTCCGATTTATACAAGTTGATACCAAGTCGTCCGACTTGATTCCACCAAGACCCTAGTACATAGATTTCGGAATTTGTCAGATTACTGAGTTTCCAGCTATTGTATAGCTACATGGCCTACAAAACGTATGCACCAGGGTTACGGGTTGCTTAAAGTATCCACGGTCTGATCCGTGGATCGGGCTTCAGGCACTTGTGCCGCGGAAAGTTGACCATCCAGAGCAATATGCTGCTTGTTGTGAGCCTATGAAGTATTGTAGAAGTAACGAGTGGTATCTCTCTAGACGACACTTGTTGTCCCGTTGTTTATATAAATAAGGTGCCAGATAGCGGAGATGAACTGGTATATTTTCTGGCAATAATCGTACTCAAAAGGCTTGTCCACTACCTTGATACAACTGATGAAGTACGTGCTTTGCATGCTATACTCGTTTTACAACACAAGATGAGTTATTAAGTCTACGTCTCATGTTTAAAAGTGAAAAGTACGAAGGGAAATCTTTCTATCGGAGTTAATGTTCGGATCCCATTGGGTGCTAAGAACACACAAACCACATGACATCAATACCCCACTTGATCGCCGAGCGGGGCATATTTGGTGCAACTTCCGAATCCCTGTTTGTCCCCCAACAATAACTCGATAACATACCAGGATATTTCACAGCCTCATCCTAGCAACCATGGCAAAGACAATTGTCGCAACTGGCATCTCATCCGGCTTGGTGTGCTCAGCTTTCCACCCTTCCATGTATCAGTTGCTAAGACACCACAGGGCTTTGAAACAATCAAGCAGTTGCTTGAGCAAGCCGAGCCGTACAATTTCATCCTGGGCGCGCGGGACACGGCCAAGGTTCAGGCTGCTTACGATAGCCTCAACTATGACACTTCCAAGCATTCTATCACCATTTACCCACTCGACCTCCTGTCTTTGAAGAGTGTGCAGTCTTTCGCAGCAAATGTCCTTTCCAGGTTGGGTTCCGAGAAGCTGGCTTATCTCTTCCTCTGCGCCGGCACTCTGGACAAGGGCGAAGGCCCCGGTCCGAATGGATCGCAATGGTGCTCGGGATATGTAGTTAACCATCTAGGTTCGTGGATTATGGATAGACTTTGAGCGTACAAAAGGGAGAGTGGATTCACTAACAATGAAGCAAACTTTTAACAGCCCCGCATTATCTGGTCCACTTGCTCCGTGATGTGCTATCTGCCTCGCAGTCGCGGGTTGTTTTCGTTTCTTCCGGGGCGATCCGTGGTCTCAGAGACCAGGATCCGGGTGAGATCCCTGCATTATCCTGGTATTCCATTCTGCCTTTTATTAACTGTTTATGGTATAGCAACCCTTGACGTGGACCTGAAAGCCAACTCTGGCGCAGGCTATCGTCCTATATACAGTGCCTCCAAGTTCGTTCAGCTGTTGGGCGCATTTTACTGGCGGCGTGAACTCCCGTCTTGCACCATTGTTGCTGTCTCACCGGGTCTCATTCCGAGCACTCCTCTCGCTTCGTCAATGGGTTTGACCATGGATATGCCCGATGCCAAGACTATCCCCGAGGGTGAGTATCACTCATAGCTTACCCTTTACGTTGACTTGCTGATGAACGTCTACAGGTGCCCAGAACCTCCTCCGCGCCTTTTTCATTAACGAATTCCCGGCAGATCCGGAACAGATTTTCTTGACTAGCTGGGGGGAGTGGTGGCCTAAGGATGTGTATGCTTTGGCTCTTGATGCTGGCCTGCAGAAGAAGTGGTGCTTGAGCAGGGAGGAGATTGAAAAGACTGAAAGCATTGCTTGAACATATCGTCGATGATAACGGAGATATGATCAATGTAGATGTGCTGGATATATTCATGCCAAGTACTTAGCACACACTTCTAACATAGAATCTTTCTTTCGAACTGCAGACACTGGATAGAGTAAGGGGTGTACTTTAACTTCTGAGGGAATCATGATTGCTCTTTGCCCTCAGGTTGCCCGAGCTCACCCGTGCCAAAATACAATGCACGCCACATTGAATGCACCGAAACTGGCTGCCTAAATAATAGTGTTGTAGAGACAACATGCTAAATTAGCTACAGCGATGAAACCTCGTATAAGGCAGTGTGCTTCGTTAAAGTCTCAGACTATCGAAACGTAGGTTACACAGCATGAATCCTTCAGACAACCCCACGCCGGTCGAACTTCCAATCTGACAGTCTAGCCCGGATGATCAAAACCAAAAAAGCAATACCCTTTGCCCCATACTACGGGTCTCACCCCGCAAAAAGCAAATGAGCGTTCTCGACCCCATCCATCCCAGTCTCACCACTCCACAGCACCCTTCACTATTGCTGCCCCCAAATCCCGTTCGCCATCTCATGAGCAATTTCATGGAATTTCCCCTCATTTAATTCATGAGCAAGCACCAACCGAATAGCATATGGGGTGGCATTAAGAGAATCAAGCTGAAGCTTGCGTTCCTCCACTACCCGCAGAATCCACGCCAGAAGCTTCTCCATACGAAAGGGGAGCTGAGCGCGAAAGATGTCGTTGGTCGAGCCCTCGTGAATATTCGTGATGATGATATCGACCGCGGGGGGTCCGGAAAACACTAAGCCTCCAGCATCACGGACTTCACCGGTCTCAGGATCGTTGTATTTCCCGTCCACGATGGGGCGGTTGCTTGCTGCATGCCAGCTGGGGGTGTGGAGCTCGTCGGGATGCTCGCGGTAGAATGGCTGTGAACGAAGATTGGCCTCAGCCAAGACTTGTGCTAGGGGAGGGTCACTTGCATCCATAGTTATTTTGATAATGGAGTTGATGGCTTGATGGAAAGAGTTTGGCTATATGGTGAATTTTGATGGAAGAGATTATTAGGAGGGTGAAGGATGATGAAAGGAAGAGTTTCGTTCAGGGCTAGTGGACTGGGAATATACTTATTGGGAGTCACATGATACCCTGCAGGGCTGGACAGATGTTGCCTACCAATCGGTTTCTCTTGCTCGTTGTGGTTCTGTCAGCCCATAAGCTGAGCTTGTTTGCTCCTGAGTGCAGTGTGTTACACAAGACCCTGGGGATCATCCAGGCAAACGGATTGTTCCCTGCTTGCGTTCCCGAGCACTCCTGCTGTCAGCCCTACAGAATCAGGGTCCGTCAACGCATCGTTCTCATGACAAGTACGAGCAATAGCTCTCTTTGATCCTTTCTTTGTCTGTGCTAGGTGTATCATTACACCATTCATTGGGATTTATGCTCTTTTGACAAGATGTGGAAGCAAAGACTCTGTCCACAGCAGTTACAGGCTACGGACAGCACTCGCGAGGTCTTCAGTAGCCTTGTCGATGTTACACAAACGAGCTAAGAATCAGGCGTGCCATATCTTAGCCTGAACTTCAATTACACCGGCTTCACTTCGAGCCGAGAAAAAGCCCAAACAAGTCATCTAGAGAGCATAGAAGTAATGCCTCAGGATCAGCGCCGTCAGCACGGTGCTATTTGGTCGACCTGCAGCAGTTCTCCAGAATCACACATACCGAGATCTATAGCACTCACCCAGCTCGAGATATAAAAGGCTCGTACCAGCCCGTACTCCGGATGCTTTCTCCCTCATCAACAGCTTCATCTTTCATTGACAACTCTACTATCTCTAAAAGCCATACAGCTTAAAAGAACCAACTCAATCTTCACGATGCGCTTCACATCCTTCGCCATTGCCACCGCCTTCTTGGCTACCATGATTTCTGCTACTCCAGTGGCCGAGCCTGAGCCCAACCCCGTTGAACTGGCTGCTCGAGCCAAGTACACCATCCACTGCAGTGGTGGTCTCAACCCTGATTCGCACTGCTTGACGCCTCATTCAAAGTGTGACTCCTACGGCACGTACCTGGTGGAGTCTGGTTACAAGGAGCAGTGCAAGAAGTGTGGCTGCGCGAAAGAGTAGATCTTTCATCCTTGAGAAGGTATATTTCAGATGCCCCAGGAACGAGAATGGGTGTTTTGCTAACATGAGAAAGTATAGTATGAACAGCAGCCTAGTTTCAGAAGGGGCACGAAGAATGATAAGGGATGTTCAAGGAAGATGTGGTGGTCTACAGTGGGAAGATGTCTGTGTGTGGAAGAACTGCTTGGGATAAAGAATAGTGGATAAATCGTTTGGCTCAACACTCATGTTATAACCTAGAGTTAGAACATCAAAATGATATCATCTACTGTTCAGATTGTGATTCTTCTGGTATGGCATGGATAATTGTCCAATGTAGGCCATCCATCTGTTGCTTACACGTACAGGCACACCCAAGCCTTAGCGTGTACAACGCTTGGTTGTTTACTGCATTACTACAGAGGGTCAGTAAAGCACAATCTCTTCGTAAAACATCTACGCCTTCGTTGTCGGAGACCTAGAAGTTACACTCGTATCATAAAATTATTCCATAAAAGCTCGTCTAAATGTACCCTGTTTGAAGAAAAATCGTCGCCGTAGCAGAAAACAACTATTATACAACAAAAGCAAAAAACCAAAGTGTATTAGCCATACAAATGGTCAAAAATAAAGCGAGTGTTGCAGCTGACTAGCCAGACGGCCAGTCAACTGCCTACGAGTTACGATTACCTCTTTTCTACTTCCATATCTTGCTTCTACAGTGTGCGTGTTCCTTCTGTTCTCCGTGCCTTTCCCGCTGACTTAAACGGGGGCGTTTTGGATTATCGTACTGTTAAGTAGTTGCATAGATCAAAAGTTAGCAGTCTGGTCTCCACTAACTATTTCTGCCCCTCCCTTGGCTTCAAGAACAATTTCAGGTTTTTAGTTTCGTCCCAATCCAGGTTCACAATTTCATCAGCCATCCAAGTAACACCAGATACATGACATCAACAATTCAACGGATTAAGCCGCAAGCACGCTTCTGCCTCCATATGTAGTAATCCTCTGTCTCACTCTGATGGCCAGACAGTCCAATCCATGCCTACGGAGCTCGTACCGACATTAATCTACCACATCAACGTCATTAACCACTCAGACCAGCAGCATTCTCCTGTATTTCGGGCAGCTGTATGTCAGTTTTCTGCGTCTGTTGAACCACCAATTATGAATATTGACCCCGTAATTCCTCCAAATCACCAGAATCCATATATTCGCACGTCTTGTAGTTGTGACATTGTTCGTGAAGTGTAACCGGCCACTACCAGAAGCAAAGAATACAGCGGTTTACCCCCAAGAGTAAGCAGCCCCGTACTGCGGCCACCCATCACGAGGCTTATTTTTCTTATCCGCGAACAAGGACTGCAGCTTGGTAGTCAGTAAATTCCCAGCCCCGACCTCGTCTTGTAATGACAGCTGACCCGGCCAGACAAGCCGGCGATGCTGGCAGTCTAGCAAGTCTCCATGCTTTGTAAACCACATCCTGCCCAGTATAATATCGTGCCGGCCGAGGTTGAAGATCAGGAAAGGTACGTCGTCCAACCGTTGTCCGTCGATGGCAAGGGTGAAGCGGATGACATGCGTTGAAGGTGTAGTAGCTTTCCCGTCAAAACCTGTGACTGTATATCCGGTCTTCAAGGGAATTATCTTGCTCTATGGTCGGTGTGCTAATTCGACAGCCAGGTCAGTATTTATATAAGCGAACGCGTTTTCTTTAGTGTCTGCTAGGGTGCAGGCGGATACTGCTAGGCCATTGTTCGATATTAAGGTCTTAATTGTAGAGCTTTCACTCTCCTGACCTAGCAGATTTTATAAATTCAGTGTACTTAAGTAAACTTCCATCTCGCCTAGAATGGAGACTTTTCCTAGACATTGTCTTTTACCTGCTCACTCTCCTCCACAGTCTCCAACTGCTTGGTCTGAGCCATTTTCTTCTTTAGGTAGTCTCTAGCCAGATGGCCCTGCTCCTGGCAAATAAAGCATCATCCTTCGGCTATCATGCGGTCGCGGTCCTCTGGCTCTAGGCTCGAAGCGCGACTAGTGTTTCAGGGGGTTCGACTACCAGTGGAGGCAGGAGTAGCAGGAGTAGCACTACCAGAGACCGCTAGCAGGGAGCGGCGGGGCGCTGAGCCAGTTCTCTCAGGGCGTTTTATCATCTGATCAAACTGCTTTATCTGTTTCAGTAAATATCAAAATAAGGCGGCTTGGACAGGCACATAAATGGTTGCGTGTGACTCAAAAGAACCCGGAAATGTGCATCTCTTCGATCAGGGATTGCTTATGTAGGATTATACCAGACGAGATGATGATTGAGATTTTGTTAGATATCTCAACGACGCCTGACTATGTGTCTAATGGCACGACCAAGCTTGCAGGATTCAGGTTTCGTTCGAATCTGACAGTAGAAGCCAAATGAATATCATACCAACAAGGTTGACGGGTATTGATCTCACTTCACAGCCTTGTTGCGTCAAGGTCGCTTGTCAAAAATCTGCTCCGTGATGTATTGATGGCATCGGTGCAAGACCTTTGAGGTAGAACACTCATTTAGTTGCTTCATCAGACACGGAATAAGCCATCTTTGTTTGAGATCTGGGAACGCGTTCACACCGATCTCATCTTCAAAGGACCCATAGTTCGCTTCTTCAACCGCGGCACGGTGATGGAGAGGAGGATGTCGAAGAGTTTATTGTACATATCTTGTATGTATGCACGCGATATGGGGTCCAGCTCATATCAGTGGAGTACATAAATCTGCCCTTGGGAAAATAGATCTTCGCCTGTTCAGAGCAAAGTCAGTCGTAAGAAAGAATGTGTCGCATAACTTCAATGGTCGATATCTGGTACCGATCCAGCCTGATATATGATTTTGTTCTGTATCCGTTGAGAAATCGACTACAAAGTATTTTTTGTAATGCCGCCGCGGAGGACCAGGAGAATAATACTATGGTGTTCGAAATACCATTGTAGGTATAGGACACTCGCACAAGGTTCAACTCTTCTTGGCAGGTATTCCATCAAAAAATCACGCGTCTTGTTCTCCTCTATGCGAAGTCTCGAATAGTGGGTCGATGGCGACAACTTGCGAAGGCAAACCCGAGAACGCACCATGGGATCGAGGTCAGATTGATCACAATTTTTCGCCATTACTATAGACCCCGTTTGTTGCAATCCCTCACATGCAGCATATATAGAAGTCAGAAGAGATGGTGCACCTGATTTGTAGTGATAATAAATAGTTGATTCTCATGCGCGTTGAATAGCTAGTCATCACGCTCCCGGCTTGAGCCAGTTTCCCCTGGTAGCCACGCCAGCCATGTGCGGTCCATTGACTGTGCCTGAGAGGATTGTGAATGCAGATGTATCTGCGTGTCATAGCAGGTTTGAAAGAAGTTGCTTGGACTGGCAATGATCGTTGCGAATTCAAGGCTTTTTTGTCGATGGCTGAAGGACGCTGCCCTTGATCAAGGAACTAGCGCAGATTGCTTCGCCAAGTAAAGAAACCTCTGGTTTTGAGCTAGACCCTCTAGTAGTGTAAAGTAAACTCAGTACACATGACAAGGACTAACAGCACTTTTGTTGTTGCGCGGATTTCATTCTTCTCTCCACCATGGTCCAGAGCCAGAAGTAAGTGAGGGAGAGATATTCTGAGGAGGTTGGCTGTATATAAAGCCATATAGGCGGCAGTGACGGCAGAGTTCGTGAAATACTAGGGTATGGTGAATATTACAACAGTATCTGTCACACTACCACTGCATTGCCGTTAATGAGCCCTGCCATAATTTTGGGCTCGGTGTCAGATGTAGAGCTTGCTGCTGGAGATTAATTCATACTCAGTGAGGGATCTGGGCGGACTTTATACCTCCCTGGAGGCAGAATGTGCCTTGGCCATTGCTACAGCCCTCAGCACACCGAGTCGCTTTTGTACTAGCCATGGAAGTTGCCACCACTCTTTATATTGTTGCAAGGCAACTCCCGATGCTACCATCTATTTTGCGGGAGATGGCGAAGGGGTTTGCAGGATTGAAGCTTATCCTTTGAACTTGTAGGTCACATTTGGTGAAAGTGACCTGCATTCGCCACATATAGCACTTCATATCTGGCAAGCAGTGCATGATGGTCGCAAGCAATGTTAGCAACTGTACTACACTAGCCACTGTTCTAGCAGTGCATGTTTCTGAATCAGTACCAACCCCCAAGTCTTTACAGTGACTACTGTTTAAATACTATTAGAAGCTGGTCATATCTCCTGATAAGATAGAGTTGAATATGCCTGTTCTAACCATTATAATTTAATCCTTCTTCCTGGGTATCGGCTATACCATCCCTGAGAGCATGATGTATTTATCGTCGAATGAGGAAATGATTTAACCCAATAACTGAAAGCTAAACGTTCCTCACACTCCATCTCACCCCGCGAGTCGTACTATGTTTCATGAACTATCCAGGCGGTAGTGACATCAGCAGCCGTGGGATTGCATGCATGCATGCTCGGACATAAGCCGGGTTCAAGGCATGGGGAAGCTTCCCGAAAGAGTATTGGTGTCCGAGCTGGTCCTGCTGGTGACCCCATATGGCTCCCAACTACACAAGCATAGGCTAATATCAGTCCCGGACCCCACGAGCTGAAGGCGGAGATGTGGGGGTGCATGGATTGAGTACGGATACATGCCTGGGATGGATGACCAAACAAGTTGGTTGTCATGGACGAGCGACACGACTTGACCCCTCGATGCGCTGTCCGGAGGACCGAGCCATAGAGGTATAAGAGCACAGTGATCACTCATTTATCGCCGAGTCCATCTTATGTCATGTCTCAAAATCAGTAACACATATCAAGAAATTGAACAAGATGAAGGGTGCCTTTCCAACGCTTAGTTGGTTGATCCTGGGCATGGCCTGTGTGGCAACCTGCACCAACCCAGTAGCCCAGACAAAGAACGGAAGTTATTATGGTGTCTACATGCCTCAGTATAATGAGGACTACTTTCTTGGAATTCCATTTGCTAAGCCCCCGCTGGCACACTTACGTTGGGCTAATCCCGAGAGTGTTAATGAGTCCTGGTCGGGATTGCGCCCTGCTACAGGCTATGCGATGGTGAGAACCTGGACCGACCATGCTCTGTGTTTAGTATGAGACTATATACTTACATATAGCACGGGTAATAGGAGTGCATAGGTTACGGCGGCGATCAAAAGGGTTATCTTCAGGTGTGGATGAATGTCACCTTCTCTACGCTGTTTTCCTGACCAGCAGATTAGAGCGAGGATTGTCTCTACCTAAATGTGGTCCGTCCCGCTGGATACGACAATGCAAGTCTTCCAGTCCTTGTATGGATTCATGGTATGTAATGAAATTCATCCCGACAATGGCAAGCCACCCCCGACGCTGAACAAATGCAACAGGTGGCGGTTTCGCACAAGGCGGCACTCCCGACCTCCGTTACAATCTTACATTCATAGTTAAACACTCACTCAACATCGGCCAGCCAATCATCGCAGTAAGCATTGCGTATCGTCTCGGTCCCTGGGGATTCTTCAATGGGGTTGAACTCGCCAATGAAGGATCGTTGAATCTGGGGCTCAAGGACCAGCGCCTGGCCTTGAACTGGGTGAAAGAGAACATCGCAGGTTTTGGTGGTGGGTTCTCATATTCCCATTTATTAGACATAGACCAGAATTACTAAGTTGTGACCCTCCTATTTAGGTGATCCAGATGAAGTCGTGATTTACGGGCAGAGTGCCGGCTCCGAGAGCGTGGGATACCAAATCCGCGCGTACAACGGGCGGGACGACGGGCTCTTCCGTGGAGGTATGATGGAGTCCGGCGCGGTGCTACCTGGCAGTGGTTTGAACCTCACCTGGACATACGAGCCCTGGTTTCAGCAGATAGCAGATGAGGCTGGATGTTCCCAGGCTGTCCGCAAGCTGGACTGTCTACGCCGCACACCCTTCACTGTCCTGAACAATATCCTGAACACAACTGCTAACGATACAACGCCTTACAACTGGAGGCCCACTGTGGACGGTGATTTCGTGGCGCGGTATCCCAGTGAGCAACTCGATAGCGGAGACTTTGTCAAGGTGCCTATTATAATCGGCTACACTACAGACGAAGGAACTACAGAGTGCCCGGAACCAGTGAACACCACTGCCGAATTGAAGAACTACCTCAGCTGTACGTATGTCCTTCTCTCATCCTTCTTTGCCCGCTAAGAAATCAACCCAGCAACAACAACCTACGGTTGGGCCCTCGACGAGCGCGTTGTATCCGAGCTACTCGAGCTCTACCCCAACACCACCGACTTCGGCATCCCTTCATCCGAAGAACTCGGCGGCAATGTCACCTTCCCACAGCCCTACGGTGCCGCATTCCGCCAGACAGCAGCATACTACGGCGACGCCCAGTTCATAGCCGCAACCCGCTACACCTGTGAGCTATGGGCAGCACATAACCTAAGTGCATACTGCTACCGATTCAACACCAAGACAGACGATTACAATTGGGAAGAAGGCGTGGCGCATTTCTCAGACTTGATTTTCATATTCAACAACCTCAATGGTTATGGGTTCAGTCCGAACCCATTCATCAATGCTCCAGAGAGCTATACTGATCTTAGCTACCTCATGTCGGGCTCGTGGATCAGCTTCGTTAGTAGTCTAGATCCTAATGCGTGGACTGGACGTGGGCGGAACGCCACGCAGACGGAGAACTGGCCCGTGTATGACCTAGAGAACCCGATGAGTATGATCTGGGATGCGAATGTCTCGTCGTATGCGGCTCCGGATACTTGGCGTAAGGAGGGCATTGCGCTGATTAATGCCAATCGGAGAGCATACCAGAGATGAACAGTGAGTGATAAGGGAAGATAGTATGCTAGTCATTTGACGCTCGTTGCGTATCCAAAAAGAACAATGTTCATCAAGTATCAAGAGAAAGGTTCGTAGTAAAATTCAAGCAACGCCAATGCCAGGTCGAGGCTAAGTCTCATACTGACAGGCCTCACGCTTTTCACCACCAAAGATCAGTACAAGTTTAGGTTTTCTTAATATAAGACGATAACTCACATATCGGAATCTCTTCTAGATGAACAGAAACACTCGAGATTTGCTGTTCGCATCCCACAAAATCGGTCTGATCTTCGGTGTATCTTCTGACATCATTCCGTGCCCCCTTCAGGCACACTGACATTCGATATCCACCATCACGGAGCGGGGTGAATGTGAAACTTTCGCACTCCTTCTGATAACCTTCAAGCGTCATCCATCCTTCGCTAGTGAAACTCATCCATTTAGCAGTACTGAGATTCTTGAAACGGAGACCATACTTTTTACTGAATGTGCATACCCACATCTGCCGCTCAGAGCGTTGCCAGGGCTGTAGCGAGATCCACTCATCACCATCAGCGTTGAACACGTATTGACTTCCAGGATTATTGAACCAGAATTTGTAGATTTTCTGTGCCTGTGGGATAACCGTCATCGTGAAGGAAATGTGCCCGGGCACTGAATGGGGCGATATCAAGCAAGGCTACGTTGTAGAGATATTTAGTATGAGTATGGAGAGAAGAATAATTGTGTACTGAGACGGCAGGCCGTGATTTGAGATGTATTGATCGGGTCTTCATGGTTATGTTACTATCAAATGGAAGATGGGAAAGGTAGACCAGAGGAATAGATTACTGAATGAGAATACATGCAATGATACCCAAAGCCATTCTAGGAGGATTGTACTTCCTAGTCTATTTTTACCTATGTTGAACAGACTATTGAACCAGGGTGATGATGAAGTAGCTGTGAGGGCCATGGGGCTCGCCGCACTTAGGGGTCTGCCTGTTACAATTGGTCTCATGTTTTAGTCCTATTTCCAAACAGCCGGCCCCGTGGTGGCATTACACCTCCTGAACAGGAAGAGCCTTGGCCGGCCCATCGATAAACATGGGAAAGAAATTAAATCAGGCGATGGGTTGTGTATCTAGGATGCGCGAGTCAGCCTACATTAAATAACACTTGCTAGGGTTGAATATTCTACAGTTTCTAGACGTTTGTAATGATAGTAACATTGATCATGATAAATTGGTAATAAAAAAGACTGGTAATCTATTATTAGATAAATGAGGGTTGTCATCTCGCCTGATTTTCGTGACTAGAAGGTTGGGTATCGATAATACTGCAAGCGAGCCCAGATTAGAAAATTTAATCATGCCAATAGAAGTGGCAGTATTCAATGTTATTACTTGGGGATGCGATTAGGAGAATATAATATGTCGTTCATGTTAATTACTCGGATGCAATCGAACCAAGAGAATTGTCGATGTAGTGATAGGCACATATAAATGCCGCTTCCAAACTGATGCAGGCTCTATGTATTTGTATACTCAGTAACCAGAGAACATACCACAAACCAGGTAGTTTCTCAACCGTACATACTGACTGCGCCTCACCGCAGTCTGGAGGTAGACTAGAACTTTTTGATGAAAGTGAATAAATCTATTTTGCTATATCTATAGTTGCCACCTAATATATTAGCTGTGGAAAAAGTGTACAGATCCGATCATTACACTTGGGATCTAGCGGCAGTTCACTCGTTTCCAGCAAGCCCAAGGTCCTTCATAATAATAGTAGCAGCCTTCTCACCAATGGCATAAGCAGTGGTAGCCGCATTTGCGCCAATGTTCTGAGGAACGATACTCAGGTCCACGAGCTTCAAGCCCTCAATCCCATGAACATTAAGCTCGGGATCAACCACGCCGCCATCAGCAAGCGCGCCCATCTTGCAAGTACCTAGTGAGTGCCAGGTGGTGCCAACATTCTTGCGCACCCAGCCCTCAATGACCTTGTCGTCCTCCGCAGTGTATTCGATGTCGGGGATGTTCTTGTCATTTGGCTTGTCCAGCCTGACAAGGGCGGCGGCCGAATCCTCAGCGAACGGCGGATGCATGCCCGCAAACTCGCCGCGATAAACGCCCATTCTGCGCACGATTTCTCGCTGCTTCTTGTACGCCCAGATGAGCTTCTTGACATCCAAATCACTCTTCAAGAATCCAGTCTCAAACGAAATATCCGCATCGGGATCGGGGCTTGTGATGTGGACGTGACCTCTAGCGTACGGGTAGACAGTGAACAAAGACGTCGCGAGGTATTGGCCTGACTCAATGGTGTGTGGCTCACCAGGGAAGCCGCCCAGCAAAGCCATTAGTGCCATGGGCTTGTTGGGAGTGGAGCGATAATCTCTTGCGTATGCCGCCTCGAATTCGGGTCCAAGAGCAGTGACATCCGCTTCGGTGGGACGCAGCTTGCAGGACGCATCTTGACCATTCCACCCCATGATTGGCGCATTGGTTTTGATTAACTCTTCCATGTTGATTCTACCGGCAAGAGGGGCGTCAAACGTCTCGGTTGGCTCCAAGGCACTGTAGTATGCCTGAATCAAGAGATGATGATCCTGGTAGTCCCGGCCGATTCCGGGGATATGGGCCACAGCAGGAACTCCAGCCTTGTTGAGAATGGCCTCGTCGCCGAGGCCAGACCTCTCGAGAAGCAATGGGGTCCCAATAGCGCCACAGGAGCTAATTACTAGCTTTCTGGCCTTGACGCATCGAACATCGGTGTTGTCTTCCTTCTGGAAGGCAGGGTTTGGCTTGAACTCAACACCCACAGCTCGTTTGCCCTCGAACAGGATCTTGATTACCTTGGTCTCAACGAGGACGTGGAGGTTTGGGTGTGCTCCATCTACCAGCTTCGGATGCAAGTAGTTGCTGGCGGCATCCTGGCGGCGGCCCTCCTTGTCAACAAAGCGGAGGGCGCGTTGAACGCCGTTGCTAGTGTCGAGGTCTTGAAGATCATTGACCGTCGGATAGCCGACCTCATTGGCGGCAGCAATGAATTGCTCTGCCGTACGCTCAGAGTAGAACGTTCCCGGGGACACAACAATAGGGCCATTTCTTCCATGAACAGAGTCAGGGCCCGGACCGTGATATGTCTCAAGCTACAATGAGTAATGGTGGGTTAGTGAACACTGTAGTCAAAAATGGCAATGCCGCAGGGTTCACAGAGTGCAGCTTTGTCGATTCGATAACATACCTTTTTTAAGAAGGGGATCATCTCATCTGTAGACCATCCGGGAGTGGCCCACGAATCCCAATCATGGCGTTGAGCACGACTGTACATCATCAAGTTGATTGATGACCCTCCGCCCAGAACTCCACCTGCTGGGACGATCATTTCGCGATTGTCCAACTGCGGCTCCGCATTTCCCTTGTAAAATAGGGTTGCGGTACTGGTTGGAAGCAGTGCAGTTGGAAAAAGGAGTGGGAACGCAATCAAGTGGTTGCCCTTGTTGTTCTGCCCGCCCTCGACCACGAGGATGGACAGTGAGGGATCGGCATCGGCGAGTCTGGAAGCAACGACACACCCCGCGGTACCGCCTAGGAGTGATCGTTAGTATAGAGTTATGATTAGCGGATGAGTAGATGGACAAACCGCCGGCGATGATAATGTCGACCTCGACAATGCTTTCGGGGAGCCGAGTGTAAATGCCCATGTTGTTGGATGTGATGGTACGGTAGAATGTGATGGTGATGGAACGAACTGGGGGCAGTGGATGGGATTACACTAGGTTTAATAGCTCCGGGTCGGTCGCCTGACTGGCATCAGCCCCACGGGACTTTATATGACGCGTGGATCTCTGTAAGTCTTTGGTGGCAATCGCTTGGATTGTTGGACAAGGCTGACTGGGTTGTTACCCACTACTACTTGCGGCCAGCAACAGGCGGGCGTCTCAGATGTGGCTCTAGGTTTGCGGGGCTAGATATATAGCGCCCACAGCTAGTAATGACTAGGTTCGTCTGGGTAACATTACGCTACGCCGTGTAAAATTGTCCCTAGTTTCACTGTACGTTTTTATGGGTGATGGATGCTACTCTCTAAAGCCTACTATACCTCACATCTTACTACGTGATTTCTATACCACAGATCCAGGTTATATACAAGAGTCTATCGTCAATCAATACGATTGAGAAAATAACAGTTGTATCATGCTAACAGTGATGTGTGCTGTAAACCTTTCTCAGCTTGGAGCAGACACGTAATTATATCATTGCAGCGCGGCGAAATCCAATTTCCGACAATTGTCCAAATCCATAGACCAACCACCAATGGATCCTTGAAGAACTGCACAGGGAAAATGCGTTCCGACGTGAAAATGTGGAATTTCTGCTGCAGGGCAAACAGGATCCATAGCACAGCAGTGGCAACGTAAAGTCCAATCATCTGGCCGCTATCCCAGCTGTGCACGACGCCGCCAAAGCCCAGAAGCATGACTGTCGACACAGCAGAGCCAAGAAATAACACAGCACCCAAATGTTCAAATGCCCTGATCACGTCCATGGCTCCTAGAGACACGCTAGGTGGCGCCGAAGGCATGATCCAGATACATGCGGGGGCGGCAACAGCGGCAACGCAGATGTTGATATAAAAAGCCCATCTCCATGTTGCAGGCGAATCAGCAAACGCAGATCCTATGACGGGGCTAAGAATAGTTCCTAAGCTCCACGCCATGCCGACAATGTTGAGATATTGGTTTTGTTCTTTGGCAGTCGTCATTCCAGTGATCATGCTAATGGTGCTGACGTAGATGCCAGAGCCACCGGAGCCAGCCAGAGCGCGACCCGCGACGACGGCGCCAATGGACGACGCTGAGCCGATAACCGCAGATCCTACTTCGAAAATAAGCAGGGCAGCGAGAAAGACAAGCTTGCCGTCGAGGAATTTGTTGAGCTTCGCCCTGTGAACAGAAGTGTTGGTAGTCTGTCCGCCAAATTACTCTGCTGCTCATTTATCTTACCAGATAGGGTTGGTTCTAACTTCACCCATGGGATACGCCACTGAAACCCACGGTAGCATATCTATGCGATTGCCAAATGTGTCGACAATGGCAGGCCGCACCGTTGCGGTCACGGTATTGTCGAAGGCATACAGAAAAGTCGCTGACAGCAGGGCAACATTGACAACAAACCACGCAACACCTGTGATCTTGCGCTCGGTCACAGCACCGGCAGACGCAGACGCAGACGGGCCACTGACAGTGGCAATATGTAGGGGCTTTTCAACGTGGTCACTTGTCGACGAAGCAACTGTCTGTGTCGGCGGCATGATGCAGGTACAATTCTGGCCAACTCGTCCGTCTGTAGTCGCATCCCAAGGATTTAAGCCTGGGAAGCAGAGTGGACTGGACTTGAGCAACCCTGCTAACCAGCTTGCGAGGAGAACAGATAATTCTTTAGTGTAACAGTAGATCAGTACGTGATGTAACGAAGTAACTGACTAAAAAACTAGTGGGCAGCGCTCGTTATCTCCATCACCATAGCCTTGTTGCGCCACCTCCGTCCGCAGATGGGAGCGCAGGGAATCAAGAGTTCTCCTGTGTAAATGTAGATCACAACATATAAGGCATGGACAACAACTACTAAAGTAGCTAACTAACAAGTTACTGGACTGCGCCCTTTATCACATCCTTGTTGAGCCCCACCCCCTTGCGCTAGTCAAGCTGCCGGCGCATCGCAATCAACTGATTGCGGGGATACTCTGTATTTCTCGTTGGTGACAGTTCTGTTGCAATTGTGGACCAACACTCACTTCTAGGGGCTGAAAAGCAGATGTTCCAGTACTCAATGTGCACATCCTGGCTAGGGTGTAAGAATATCTTATTGTAGCCTTAATGAAACAAAGGGTTGCGTTCTGTAGTCACAGCGCACAGATCACCGAGCACACCCGGTTGTTCTGGCCACAGCCTAACTATAACCCGTTATGGTTAGTGCTTACTGACCACGATTCAACTTAGTATAACCTCATAAATTGCGGTTCTTTGTTCCACACTTGGCGCCAATGCCGAATCAAGTAGGAGATGTACAGGCGGGCCGATAATGATGATCGTTACCTTAAATGGCGTACTTGAAGTCCAACGTCACCGAGGTCAAAGGAGGGCGGGCGCGAGTTGAAAGGACTCAGACAGGACAGGGGACCACATCCCCAACGGAAGAAAAGGCACTAACATGGGTAGTAGTGGCTCGGTTCACACAGCCGTTTGCCTTGGGGGTAATTAGCCTAGACACCTCGCTAACATCGGGTAGCATTGCGCGGCCGCAAGAATTGATTGAACAGCCTGGCGACGGTTGACTCGCACAGCCTGGTCCAACATTGTGATAACCCTCTCTTGCTCGGGCTTAGACGATGTGGGATGGTGGAATAGGTCGACAATGCAGTGAAAGATGACCAGATTAAACGAATTAAATGGCAATATATATATACCCGAAGTATGTACACTGATTATTCATTGCCGAATTATTCCGAATCTCAAATCGTGAAAGTGGTCGCCGATCAAAAGGTGTTCTTTCGTGTCTGCAACGCTAAAAAAGCATGGGATCGTTGGTCATTGTGTCAAAGTCCCTTTCGCGAGCAGCCAATGCCCATCTTAGTATTCCATGGTCTTGTCATATACTCAGCCCTCCTAACTGAGGATGCTGGAAAATGTTGGTGCTGTGTTCCCCATGGCTTACTTCTATATGCTACTCCCTACGCCTTTTTTGTTCCTTAAACCTCAGTTCAAGGATTTGAAAACAGTCCACTTGGTTATGAAGATCTCATAGCATATATTTTGACCAAGGTAAATGATAGGTACATTGTGACTAGGAGAGGATTTTACAGTCAGATGTATCTTTGAGTACGTTTAGACAATCTAATTTGTGCTAAAGAGGTGCAATAGATATTGTACTTGTCTTCAGGTTTCTTCGAGAATGCACAGGGGGTCAAGAAGGGGCAATGAACCTGCTTCGGTCGCCGCTTGGATGGAACAGAACATATCCTCTTACTTCTGCGATCATGTACTTTGGGTTAAGATTAAGCTTCCGCCTTTAAACTTAAACCTTGCTGTCACTTTGGTCCCCTTAATTAGGGTGAAAACTGAATTGTATCATGCTTGCTCAACATATGGACTACATAAAATGGTGTTTGCTGGGTTTCGTAGAAGCGGTGAAACTCTAGCCAGGACACCCTAGCTTGACAGAAAACCTGGGTAGCCTTATAGAAGCAGCTTCATTTGTGGAATCCAGTACAATGAGAGAGGAGCGCGAGAATGCTACAATAGGAGTAAAGTACATTCCCCGGATTACATATAAAACCCATCGAGTTCTTAGGGACAAGAACAACCAATAAGAGTAGTTGATGCAGGAGTTTGATGCACCGCTAATCCCGTTGCCAGGTTCCTGCCGTTCGTTTCGGCACCCTTCAATATTCATACAACTATTTCATGCCTTTCTCGAGCCAACGAAATATTCCGTCGCTACATGCTGACATTGACAGCTGTCATGCGCCATTAAATAGCCATGTGATCTAGGAGGAGTAGGCAGCTTCTGCAGAGGTGAAGGCATTGTCAATAGTAGTCTTGATTGAGGTAATCTGGTCACTTAGAGAAGCGGGTCCATTCGTGTTCAAGGCGTCAGCGAAATTGTCGAAGGCCGTGTGGAGGGAAGCGAGATCGTTGAGCACTAGACTTGCTCCACCTGGAACAGATGACCAAGCAGTTTCTTGATTTGCAATGGCAGTTAATACGCCCGAGAGGCTTGCGATTACCGCTTGAACGTCATTAAGAATAGCGGCTCCAGTTTCATCGTCCAAGGAGCCGGCGCTGTTGGTATCTGTAGTTGCATAATTCACCGAGGAAACAAGATTCTGGAAATCGGCGTGGATAGCCACAGCCCCGGCTAGACCACTAGAGGGGAAAGTGTTAATGTCATTGCTAAGAGTTGAGATGCCCGGGGCGATTCTTTGGTTCACATCGTCTTCGACTGTGATTGCGTCGCGGCGAAGGATAGGGGTAGCGGCAGCAGTTAGAGCCAGAGTGAGAAGTTTGGCGATGAGTACCATCTTTGTTGTTGAAAGTCGATGGGGGATAATAGTGCTAAGGTTGTGATAGCCAAGAAGATGGAGGTATGGTTTCTGAGGACATTGTTAAGGGCTACCTGGGCTCTATATATTATGCGATGAGTGAATAAGTGTAATACCGGGATGTGAGGCAGGTAAGGATCACGCATACATAGCACAGCCAGCGCCATTCTGCATATTAAAATTCGCCTTTTCTTGGTACCTATACCATTCCACGTATTGAGTGCTAAACACTGAGTCTCAAGAGGAACAAAAATGCTTTACATTCTCCAGTCTCTGTGAGACATGCTAGGCCCGGATTCTATGTAAGCAAGGGGTGCATCTACATGGAGTCAGAGAAATGATGCAACATGCCACTGGCAGTAGTGGACCAGCTTGAATATACATAGAGTGGGTCGACCGGCCACACTCATGCCTTAGTCCACATTCTTTGAGGTGTATGTGTCCTCAGAACACCAGGTTATGCATATTTCACGCTCCTACCAGTATGAAATTTGGTTCAACTTATGATGATTATCAGAACGACAACCTCATAAAGATGAACTGTCTCATTAGATCACATGCCTGACAAATCCTCATATTTAATGAAGCTGGAAACATGTTGATAGAGATACTAAGGCTAGAAACTTGTACAGGATTCCCTATGTCCTGGAAATATATGAATACTTATAATAGCTTGAACCTAAGAGCTCGGCAGAGGTAGTTCGTCTGTCAGCGGCAATAATGTAATTTACAGTGTAATGAGCCCACAGACGAAACCGATTGGCTCCATTAGAACCCCAATCTGGCTGTGTCGGATAATGTCTCCGTGGATTTGGGCTGAAGTCTTCAACGAACCAATACAGAGAGGGTTTGCTGCAGAGAGTACCTCCCCAGTTGCATCAGCTCAGCTTTGCCGTTCTCCAGAATAATAATATAAGGTAACCCTTTGTTGTTAGGAATCAACTTAGCATGGGCGAAGAATGTGATGACGTCCCCATTCGTAGGATCTGGTGTCATCCACTCATCGCCTGGTCAACAACTGCATGGAAATATAGTAGCTATATTGAACTTACATGTACCAGTTATGTTGAAGCACTCGTTCGAAGCTGCTTCTACCCACTGACCGTAAATATATTGCTCCCCGACCAACGTGTCCATTAGAGTAGGAGTCGACAGAACATGGCTCTGAGTTCATGCAATAGAATCTGGCATACGTTCAAAGGCATCAATCAAGTGGAGATGGTCTGAGTGACTATATTAATGGTTTGTAACCCCATAGTGTCGCCCAAGGACGCCATGTAAACGCAGCATGGAGCATTCCGGCAGGTCACTGCGGAAGTGGGGTTCCCCAATCTGCCATTTCGGAAGGCGAACCCAAATAATGTCCGAACCCTATTTGTAACCCGGCATTGCTTACTATTCTTCATAACTGGCCTTACCGTGAACGAAGTGGCATGCGATATTAAACAGGCGCTCCATATCGACGAAGACGTCCTCAAACCCAGCCACGCATGCCTCGAGAGCGGAATTCCCGTCCCACAGCATGAAGGGTATGCAAACGCCACATCAGCGTGGCCTGAGATCTGATATCCGAAAGCGCCTCTTCGCTGGACTTTAGTAAATAAGTATCTTCGTCTATTGTTACAGATTTGTCGCAAGACTTCAGCGGGCTTGATATAGCCGAGATTATTCGACCGGCATTCCCGGTCGTCCGAAGCTTCGTGGTCCTGCTCTTTTCGGCGTTGAAAATCTAGCTGATTAGATTTAGCGGGTAGCAAACCTGCTTCGATCCATGGTAAGTATCCGAGCGAGCAAGATATAGTTACTCAAGGCGCTCTGATTGGTGGCTTGCTGCTCCGATGGCTGGGCCCGATGGACCGCCGGCAGTTGTCGAACATTTTATACAGCTCAAATGCCTCCAATAAGTACCAATAGCAGCTAGTTCTGACTACAACTCTCGTCTACTCGCTTTGAAGGGCTCACCTTAACGACTATTCTCTCCTTGTGTCCAAACGATAAAGAAGATAAGCATCAATGCATAGTAGATAGATCTTCACGCAGTCGCCACCACCCGTGAACCTACAACGGACTTTGCTGGCTCTAAGAGAATACAAGTCGACTACTAATCACCTGCTCTCAGATGGCCTAGACACCTTAACTCCATGGGCACAGGCGGGGATGTCCGGGGCGATCGCCTGGAGTGGAAAGCCGGAAGCTGGTTCCAGCTCAAGTCGCACCAATGAATGGCAGCGCAGTGGAAGCGTCAATGAGTGGTTCTGCTGCCGGCTGCGTTTCCGCCACTCACAATGACTTTTCTTCCGCCACGCGATAAAGACCAACAAAAGAAGATATCTCCATCCTTCCCCATCTTCTGCCTCTCATGTCTGTTCAAACAAGTCGCAATGTTTCTCGACGGCCAAGTGGCCGCTCTCTCCCTCGATGAGAAGCTCGCGACATCACGCAGTGTACCTCTGCCCGACGATGACTCTCCAGCGGTGTCTCCCTCGCTCGCATGCATCTATCGCCATACCCCGACGCCGACCATCGTCCTCGATTCATCCATGACCATTGTCGAGATCTCTGATAGTCATCTCGCTTTATCCGGCAAGACGCGCCAATCTATGCTGCATGCGACCGTTCGTGACCTCGACCCAGCTGCCGTGCCCGCTCCTGACATCGCTATCCTCTGTGGCGCACTGCGTGCAGCTTGCTCAACGAAGGAAACCCAGATAGTGGAGAGAATCGTGTCCAGCGACAAATCTTTATACAACCTCCGAGTTACACCCATCTTCGACGCATTCACTCTGCTGTACATTGTATTGGAGGCGCACAAGCTTTCCGAGGAGACCGCCAGCGTTAATCATGCCTATACAAACGAAACTTACAAAATCCTCGTGGATACCGTCAAAGAGTACGCCATTTTCATGCTCGATACACAGGGCAATATCACCACCTGGAACCCCGGCGCTGCAATCATGAAGGGATGGCCAGCAGAGGAGATCCTGGGCAAACATTTTTCCGTTTTTTACAGCCCAGAGGATCGCCTGGCTGGAAAGCCCATCCGAGGTCTTGCGGTATGCTTGCGCGAAGGCCGTATGGAAGATGAGGGATGGAGGTATCGGCGCGATGGCTCGCGATTCTGGGCCAATGTGCTTATTACTCCTATCTACCAGTTCGGGCAGCACGTTGGTTTCGTCAAAGTCACTCGGGACCTTAGCGAGCGCAAAGAAGCCGAGGCCCGTATCATTGCTGCTTTCGAAGAGTCGTCACGCTTAAAGACCGACTTTCTTGCCAATATTAGCCACGAAATCCGGACTCCGATGAACGGGATGAAAATTGCCATGACAATGCTGGCTGACACGAGTCTGTCACCGACACAGCTCGAGCATGCTGCCATCATCCAGGACTGCATGTCACTTTTGCTTGAGACTGTGAACGATGTGCTTGACTACTCAAAACTCTCATCTGGCTCTTTCTCCCTACATTCCGACGTCGTTGATGTCAGCGATGTGGTCGGAGCCGTTATACGGAATTGTCGCCCATCTTTGAAGAACGGTGTCGAACTGACCACGGACATTGCACCTGACTTTCCCCGGAACCTTCGAGGAGATCCCCTACGATATCGCCAGATCCTGCAGAACTTGGTCGGCAATGCAGTCAAGTTTACCGAGAGCGGTCGTATCCGAGTCTCCACAGCGTGCTCTCCGGATGAACAAGAGGAGGGCTGTTGCATCGTGCGTACAGAGGTCGTCGACACCGGCATTGGTGTTCCCGACAACGCAATGAATACCCTATTTACACCTTTCACACGCTTTGCCAACTCGACCACCCGACAATACCAGGGAACTGGGTTGGGCCTGTCGATTTGCAAAAGTCTGGCTGAACTCATGGACGGAAAAGTGGGATATTCCCCGAACCCGGATGGCCAAGGCAGTATCTTCTGGTTCACTGCCAAATTAGGAGATCGATCTAGTACGCCATCACTCAAGCCTCGCAGTCCTGCATTAACACCCGTGGGCCACGATCTCTGCGATAAAATGCGGGCCATTGCGCCCCACAAACATGTCTTATTGGTTGAGGATAATATGGTCAACCATACCATGATGCTAAAACTCCTTCGCAGCATCGGCTTCACACGAGTGGACGGGGCTTGGAATGGCGCCGAGGCACTATCCAAGATTAAGAAGAAGCCGCTATCCTACAACGTCGTCTTGATGGATGTCTCCATGCCCATCATGGACGGCCTGGTCGCGACAGGGCACATCCGCGATATGGGGCTCCAAATGCCGGTTATCGCAGTCACGGGCAACGCCATGCAGGGCGACGCCGAGAGCTACATTGCAAAGGGCATGAGCGATTGCATCGGCAAGCCGGTTCACCGAGATCAACTACTGAGTGTTCTGTGGAAGTGGATTGGGTCATGATACGAGATACGGGTGTGAACTTGTCTGTTATTTGCATAAGCGCAGCGCAGAGTACGGCGTACTGGGCATATAAACAATCGGTCTAACGATTTTATATATATTGCTTTTCTCACTGGTCTGGTTTCGGGTTTCCTTTCCATCTTCCTTTGTGTTTTGTTCTTTTTTCTTTCCTGCTTTGTTTACTTAGTTCACTTGGCCTTTCAACTTCTTGTAATCTTACACACTTACGGTTCGAATATATGATAACATGATTATTTTGAAGCAAGAAAATTACAAGACCCCTCTCTTGGCATCCGACTACTTAAGAAGGATACCTCCAATACTATCTGTGATTCTACAAAGCCTACGTACTATGTTCGTTATTTCTCTCTTCTGCCTTCTGCCTCCTCAACCAATTATGCTTCTTAGTGGGAACACCTTTTCACAATGTTCCTTTTCTCCTTAATACATCTGCTTCGTTTGGGTGCGAAAACCAAGCTTCTTGCATATTCCGCACGTAGTACGATTTCATCTAGTCAGACATCGTCTATTCTGCCACGGCTAGTAGTATCTATATCAATGTCTCCTGTCTATGGC